TGGCTCCCACTCTATTTAATTTTTACATTAATTCCCTTGTTTCTGCTCCGAACAATCTTTCTTTTCATCCCTCAAAGTTGGCTAACAAGCATATTAACTCACTGCTCTATGCGGATGATGTTGTTATTCTTTCGCTATCTCCCATTGGACTCAAAAGAGCTTTAAACTCTCTTGCCATGTTTGCCAAAGAGGAGAAATTAATAATTAACTCCTCGAAGACTAAGATTCTTACTTTTGCTCATCACCCCAAATTGATACAATGGACTCTTGATAGACAACACATAGAGCAGGTTAAGGCTTTCAAATATCTGGGAATTGTGTTTCATAACTCTGGAAGGAGAACTGCACATTCTGAACTTGTTATCAGTAATGCCCAAAGACCCATAACGGCTATATTAAGATTTTTTTTTCAATAAAGGTGCTCAGTTTATTCCGGCTGCAATCAAATTGTTTAATGCTAAGGTTCGCCCACAACTTCTATATGGAGCCCAATTGGGACCATATAGTAACATCAATGTAATCGAACGAGTGCAAACTAAGTTTCTTAGGAGAATCTTTCAGGTCGCTCATTGTGTTCCGAATGCTCTTCTTAGAAGGGAGGCCGGGTCCATTAAAATAGAATCTAGTCTGTGGATCAGCATACTCACTTATTGGCAAAAATTACATAAAATCCCTGGAGGCCTGACAAATTTAATCTTCCTGGACCCCTTTAAATCATCTTGGGGAAGTTCTATTCTTAAGAAACTAAATGAACTGGGCCTCAATAATAATGAAATTATAAAGCTTGATGTCAATAGAGCTAAATCCATTATTAAACAAAAAATTATAGAAGTAGAAAGACACTTGGACTCCGCTTCCCTTTCAAAATATGCCCTCTTCAGTGCTCCAACCCTGGTCCCTTTCCCAGCTCCATATCTATTCCATCTTACTCTCCCGAAGTTTAGAAGGGCTTTAACTTTGGCTCGTTTCAATGTGTTTCCCACAGCTATGTTGGAAGGCAGATTTAAAAAAACACCTTTTGAATTTCATTTTTGCCCATGTGGTTCGGGCGCTGTCGAAACTAATGAGCATGTTCTCCTTTACTGTCAATTCTATAGGGACATCCGTCACCAACTGATTAGCCCATTATTGATTAAATTCCCAGGTAAAACTGACTTTTTTTTATCTACGCCTCCTATTAGATAATAATGACCTTACAGTATCCCACAAGGTGGCCAAATTTTGTTACATTGTCTGTAAACTGCACCCTCAATTGATAAATGGTCATCGTATTATTGTCTAGAAAGATTTGGTTGGTTATTGTACTTATATAACCTATATTTAGTTTGTATTTTATCCTGATACCGTTATACTGATATATTATTTGTATTTGTATTTTTTTTTTAAATATACTGGTCAAAGACTGAATAAATTGAATTGAATTGAATTGAAATAGAATTAGTAAAAAAGTTCTCATATCTGGAATCAAACATTGATCAGAATGGGGACTGCAACCAGGAAATCAGGAGAAGATTAAGAATGGGAAGGGCAGCTATGAAAGAACTAGAAAAGATCCTAAAATGCAAAGACATACAACTCAGCACAAAAGTCACAATCATACAAGCCATTGTATTCCCTATTCCAAGGGTAGGCAACCTTTCCCCTTTAAGGACCGAGGGACTGCAGCTCCTAGAATCCCAGGAGCTATTGGCCAACATGGGACTATTGGCCAACATGGCTGAAACTTCTGGGAGCTGAAGTCCCTCGGCCCTTAAAGGGGAAAGGTTGCCTACCCCTGCCCTATTCCCATGTATGGACGTGAGAGCTGGATAGTCAAAAAAGAAGATAGGAGGAAAATCAACACATTTGAGATGTGGTGCTGGAGAAGAGTGTTGAGGATTCCATGGACAGCCAAAAGGACAAACAAATGGGTCCTAGAGCAGTTCAAGTCAGAGATAACCCTAGAAGCCAAGATGACAAGACCGAGGGCCTTTGCAGACTGCCAGAAATAGTGCAAATTGAGTCTACTTTAACTGCCCTGGCTCAGTGCTAGGGAATCATGGGAACTGTATTTTTTCTGAGACATTGAGCCTTCTCTGTCAGAGAGCTCTGTTGCCACAATAAACTACAGTTCCCATGATTCCCTAGCACTGAGCCAGGGCAGTTAAAGTGGACTCAATTTGCACTATATCTAGCAGCCTGCAAAGGCCCTGCGACTGTCGTACTTTGGGCACATCATGAGAAGGTATGAATTGATTTTTTTTGTGGGTTTTTTGGGCTGTGAGGCTGTGTTCTAGATGTTTCACCTGCATCTGTGGCTGGCATCTTCAGAGAATGGTGGCATGGAGGTGTGTGGGGTATATATACTGAGTGATCCTTGGTTGAGAGGATTAGCATGTAAATCTGTGTATTGTTCTGTTGAGGCAAGGCCTCTGGGTGGGAGGATAAGCGAGGAGGATTAGTGTCTATTTAATTAATGGTCCATTGTCAACTGGGAATTAGCATGTAAGTTTGCATGTAAATCTGTGTATTGTTCTGTTGAGGCAAGGCCTCAAGATGGGAGCTAATGCAATGAGAATTAGTGTCTATTTAATTAATGGTCCACTATGTGCTGGGAAATCCACTGACCCTGGGTGAAGTTCATTGGCATTTGCTGAGTCTTGACTTTGGTGTTTTTGAGGATTGGCCAAATTTTGTTTACTTTCAGGGTTTCTTCTTTCCTGTTGAAATTGTCCAAGTGTTTGTGGATTTCAGTGGCTTCCCTGTGCATTCTGACCTGATAGTTGTTGGCATGATCCAGAATTTCAGTGTTTTCAAAAAACATTTTGTATCCATGTTGGCTTATAATGTGTTCTGCTACTGCTGATTTTTCTAGCTGGCCCAGTCTGCAGTGGCTCTCATGTTCCTTGATTCCTGTTTGAACACTGCATTTTGTGGTCCCTATGTAGACTTGTCCACAGCTGCACAGTGTGCAGTAAACTCCTGCAGCCATGAGAGGGTCTCTCTTATCTTATGTGTGCAACATTTCATGGATTTTCTTGGTTGGTCTGTAAATCATTTGGAGGTTGTGTTTCCTCGTCTGTTTTCCTATGTGACTCCTTTGATATATGGTAAAAATACCTTCCTTTTGGGTGGTTGTTTTTCTTCATTCCTGTGGTTTTTTCTGGGTCTGGCCACTCTTCTGATGTCTGAGCGGGAGTAACCATTAGCTTGTAGAGCCCAGTTTAGGTGATTCGCCAGTTCATCTTCCAAGTAGTGGGGTTCACAGATCCTTTTTGTGCAGTCCACCAGTGTTTTTATTGTGCTTCTTTTTTGTCCTTGGTGATGATTGGAGTTCTTGTGTGGCCTAAATTGTTGGAAAAGACAATAATGTTAAGTAAGGTGGAGGGAAATAGAAAGAGAGGAAGGCCACATGCTAGATAGATGGACTTTATTAAAGAGACCACGAACATGAGTTTGCATGAGCTGGGCAGAGCAGCAGAGGACTGGGGGGCCTAGAAATGTCTCATCCATAGGGTCGTCATGGGTTGAGATTGACACAAAGGCAGTTAACAACAACAACAAAATAAAATGGCATACCTCATATAAAATGGCAAAATCAAGGATTGCTTTTTGGAATTTATATATTTT